GCGCGGCGGCGCGGCCGCGGCGCGGCCAGGCGTGCTGCGCGGCGGCCTGCCAGCGGGGGTGGGCGGGGTCGAACTGCAGCCATATGCCCGCCGCCAGCTGCTCCTGCCGCGGGCGGCGCGCCTCGACCTCCGGGTCCGGCAGGCGCACCCCCAGCCCCGCCAGCAGCGGCGCGTCGTATGGCGACCGGCACACGTCGCACGCGGCGCGGGGGCGCGTATCCAGCCAGCGCTGGAGGCAGCCGCGGTGAATAAAGGCGCACGAGCCTTTGCAGCGGCAGGGGGACAGCAGCAGGCCGTCTGGGGGGAGGCCTTCTGGGTCCCAGCATAGGCGGCACTGCGGGGTGCGGGCGGGGGGGAGTGGGGGGTGTGGCATCAGCGAGCGTTGCGCACGTGCACGATCAGATGATACCAAGGATCCCCGAAGCTGTGCGTGCGGCGCATCACTGCTACTGGGAACGACAGTGCGCACGCCGCGCACCGTGGCGCCGTTGCTTGTCCGGCCACTGTTGGCACTGCCCGTATCGCCCGAGCGCGCCCCAGAGGCCATTTGCAGCCCTGGGGACTAACTACGGGCTGCTGCTCGGGGTGCGAGCCAATCGAAACGGCGTGATCCTAGTCTTCAGGTCTGCACCCCCTCTCGTGCGCTTATGTATGTCTGGAGCACCTGACAGAAATCAAGGTTTGGTCGCTTCATCGCACGGTTTGTCGATGACACGGCATGCTGCTGGGGAGTATGCATGAGGAGGAAGGCACCCGGCGCTTTGGCTACTCTCAGCCACCGCGACCTACGTAGAAGGATAGGCGCATTCCCCGTTGTATTGTCGGATTGAATGTCGGTCACGGAGGACAACCTAGCATACACACATTTTTTGAAGGTGATCAATCTTGTGGCTGCCTTGTCCTGAGCTTCGCCCATCGACGCCCATTGGGTCCTCAAACGACAATTCAAAGCACCTCAATATCCACGGTTACCTGCGCAAACCCTCTGCGCCACCCCCATGTGACAGGCCATTGCAAACAGCGTGCCGTGCTGCATCACTTGTCCCGCTACCTGGCGCGCTCGGCGGCCGCCACCACCATGGCGAGCCTCTCGGCGGCCTCTTTGAATGGAAGCCTGGCAATCGGCGGGGGTTTCCTCAGGCAGCAGCGCGCGGCAGGCAGCCTGGCGCGTCGGGTGATCCCAGCAGCTGCCCGCTGCCACAGCCCAGCGTCGTCGCCGCTGCTGCGCTCCGTGGCCGGTGGCGCGGTGGCGGGCGCGGCAGCGCCGGCGCACCCCGTGGCGTGTGCCCACCACCAGCAGCAGCTGCGGGGCGTGCGCACGTGCACGCGCTGCCAGGCGGCGGCGGATGTCGAGGCGCCGGCGGCCAAGAAGCAGAAGCAGGAAAAAAAGGGCGGCAAGGGCCAACAGCAGCAGCAGCAGCAAGCCAAGGGCGGCGGTGAGCACGTCAATTGCATGCATGTTAATTGCATGCGCTTAATAGAACCAAACCATACTACAACTGCAACCTCAGTTTGCATCGCGCTCCAGCCCCCACAGCGGGGTCTGCTGCGGCGCCCTCGAGCCCCCGCTCTGTTTGGTCTGCCCTGCACGCTGCGCGGCTCTCGGCAGCCACCCCTTGCTCGCTCGCGCCGGAAAACCTCTACAGGCAAAGCTAATGAGGAGAGCGTGACCCCCAAGAGCGAGGACTTCAGCCGGTGGTACCTGGACGTGGTGGCAAAGGCTGAGCTGGCGGACTACGGGCCCGTGAGGTGGGGGGCGGACTGGACTGCCGGCATGGGGCGGGGCGGAGAGCTGTCAGAGTGTGGGGCGCAGGGGCGGCGCCGAGCGGCCTTTGGCTGGTATGAGCAGCCTGGGGGACGAGCAGACGTGTGAGACTGGACGAGCAGTCGAGACGCAGTTCTGGCCGGCACACACAGAAGCCACTCGTCTGGGAGGGCCATAGATCACGGCGCGGCCGGAACGAGGGGTCATTAGGGGAAGCCTCCCAAAGTCATCGCGGCCTCAGGCACGTTGGGCCGCCCGCCCCCCCCCTCCCCAACACACCACACACACACACACACACACACACACACACACACACACACACACAC